AAATCCAATACTACATTAGTTTCATGCACACAACATAGTGATTCAACATTTCTATGTCTTATAATGTGAGTACCACACTCAGGCTGGTAAATGCCTGTTGCTGTGCAACTTTTCACATTATTATTGACTGTATGTGCCCTCCCCTTTTCACCCATCCTTCTTACTCAACACTCTCTGGAAGCCATCAGTTTGTTCTCTCTTTTCATGAGTTTGTTTTTGGCTTGTTTGTTCACTTGTTTTGTTTTAAAACTCTACATGTAAATGAAATAATGTAGTATTTGTCTTTTTTTGTCTCACTTACTTCACTTAGCATAATACCCACTAAGAATACTTTAATTTAATCTCCTTGTGTAAAAGCAAATCAATAAAATGTTGCCTCTGTTATCTGATTATTTCTTAATTCTCTATTTCACCTATAGAAACTGAGTTTACTATAGTTAAATAAATAAAATAGTGTATAATAATTATTTTAATATTTTTTCTCCCAATAAAATGTGATGTTTTAGAGAGTAGGAATTATGTATTTTTCATCTTTATTTTCTTAATTACTAACAGAATAGTTAGATATAATAGGTTTGCATAAATATTTGATAAATGAACAAATAAAGTCAGGCTCCAGCTCCAGAAAAAAGTTATTAAAGAATCAAATATCTTATTCCCTGATTTTTAACATCTCTATTAGCTTAAAAATTATAGAGGTTTTTTAATAACATAATTATACTGTCACACTTTGTTTACATAGAAAGTTAATATCACAGTTCTTTTTCCATTGCAACAGAACTTCCAGAAGTACACGGTTGAGAAGACACCAAGTTAAATAATTATTGACACATATCAATGTTCCCTCATCAAATCAACGTGGTCACCATCTTTTCTTAAGTGTAGATCTATATTTTGTATGATGAAGGAAAATCTAACATGCACATTACATTTATTGAGTACTTACTATATGATTGATGTGATATGTGTTTTGCTTACATTATTCTAATTTAACCTTCCCAGCCAATTAATGGCATAAATATTACTATTCAAAATTTTCAGGATAGAATATTGAGATTTAGAATAAAGTATCTTGACCAATTATATAACTAATAAATAATAGAGCTATAATTTGTTCTTAGATTGACTTTAAAATCTAAACTCTGTCTACTGCACCACACAGCCAAATAGTAGAGTAATTAGATGTCAGGTGCCATCATCCTTATCTTTGAATCCGTCATCAATTTCATTAAAGAGTTGATATAGCACTAGATACAATATTTTTCAAAGTCAATATGATTGTGAATGTAAGAAACTCAAAAATATTGGTTCTTTAATATAAATATTTCTAAAAATCCTTTTATTACTGAAAAACATTTACTTTCTGCTACATAGCCTGATTATAGAAAATATCAATTTTACATTAAACTTATGAAAGTGCTCATATCAGTCAAACTCTGGTATTTTTTGAACTTGAAAGGAATTTATGTCAAAACATTTTTAGGCTTCCTTCTTGTTTGTACCAATGTTATATAGCTTCAGTTACAGCAAAAAAACAATTTTATTTTCAACCTCAGTTGATACACCTACAGTCACATACACACTTCCCCATGGTTCCGTTATTAAGTCACACTGATCTTGGCCTCATAATGTCCAGGCTTATGAACAATATATAGGAAGTATTTATAATGCCTGAAATTTTCAAAAACCATTTTTGTTTTTAATTAGCAAAAAGTTTCTTGTTATGATTTTTTAAATATTAAAAATTTAAGTGTATTCTTCATCTGCTTGATGAAATTAGAGGTCAGGAGAATTGGAATAATGAATGGCTATGTTAAACAGTGCCTTTACCATCAAAGTATGCAAATATCAATCAATATGTCAATCTCCCTAGTAAAGTTACATGATTTTCATATTATCTCTTGATTGATTTGACCAAAGGGAAAATATAATTTAAATAGAAAATGAGCTTCTGTATCAAGTTCACTAAAAATTACTAAAAAAATTTTATTTTCACATTTCTACTGGAAATGAAACTGTGTTCTTCTCTGGATAACATTAGTTTAGAAAAAAATAGTTCCATTGTGCTCCCATTGGCCAGAGTGGGTGACAAACCAAATTGTTGAAGTCAATATGTAGGCCAAATATTCTTGCATACCAATGCTGCTATAAATTTTATAATGTCTTAATAAAAATGTTTTTAATTTTTAAATGTACAGTCCTAATGCAGAGCATATAACCTAATTATTTTTCTCAGTTTTGTAAAGAACAAAATCTGAGTTATTTGAATAATCACTTGGACTCCATGGTAACAAAATGTGACCTATGTTAGCTCAGGCAGTTAACTCATTATTTTCTCTACATGCTTTTGCACAAATAGAACTGTCACTTATATTAGTTAGCCTTCTCTATGAGCACAAATATGTTTCCTGAGTGTTGACCTCATGTCTTTTTCAGAGATTATAAATAAAAACTAGCAATTCCAGAAATAATAGGTTTCTGTCCTTTCTCAGTAATTCTCCCTTCTACATGTAGAAGAACTGATTTCAGAAAGGCAAACATGAATTCCCTTACTTGGATTTTCTTTTTCATTTTAAAGACCAAAAATAAACCACTGTACAATTTCATGTCTTTCACTGTATTATAATAGTTGATGTAATTAAGAATATCTTTTTTTAAAATATGTTTTATTGATTATGCTATTACAGTTGTCCCATTTTTTCTCTCCTTTATTCCCCTCCTCCCTGTACCTTCCCACCATCATTCCCCCATCTTAGTTCATGCCCATGGGTCATACATATAAGTTCTTTGGCTTCTCCATTTACTATACTCTTCTTAACCTCCCCCTGTCTATTTGGTACCTACCATTTATGCTTATCCCCTGTACCTTTTCCCCCATTCTCCTTCCTCCCTCTCCCCACTGATAACCCTCCATGTGATCTCCATTTCTGTGAATCTGTTCCAGTTCTACTTATTTACTTAGTTTGCATTTTTTTTAGGTTCAGTTGTTGATAGCTGTGAATTTATTGTCATTTGTTCATATTTTTTATCTTATTTTTCTTAGATAAGTCCCTTTAACATTTCACAGAATAAGGGCTTAGTGATGATGAACTCCTTTAACTTGACCTTATCTGGGAAGCACTTTATCTGCCCTTCCACTCTAAATGATAGCTTTGCTGTATAGAATAATCTTGGATGTAGGTCCTTGCCTTTCATGACTTTGAGTACTTCTTTTCAGCCTCTTCTTGCCTGCAAGGTTTCTTTTGAGAAATCAACTGATAGTCTTATGGGAACTCCTTTGTAGGTAGCTGTATCCTTTTCCCTTGCTGCTTTTAAGATTCTCTCTTTATCTTTAATCTTGAGTAACTTAATGATGATGTGCCTTGGTGTGTTTTTCCTTGGGTCTAAGTTCTTTGGGATTCTCTGAGCTTCCTGGACTTCCTGGAAGTCTATTTTCTTTGCCAGATTGGGAAAGTTCTCCTTCATTATTTGTTCAAATGTTTTCAATTTCTTGCTCTTCCTCTTTCACTGAGCTACATCAGCCAGAGTTTCTTGCTCTTCCTCTTCTCCTTCTGGCACGCCTATGATTTGGATGTTGGATCATTTAAAGTTGTCTCAGAGGTTCCCAAGATTCTCCTTATTTTTGTGAATTCTTGTTTCTTCATTCTGTTCTGGTTGAATGTTTCTTCCATCTGGTCCAAACTGTTGATTTGTGTCCCGGTTTGTTTCCTGTCACTGTTGGTGCCCTGTACCTTTTTCTTTATTTCACTTTTCATAGCCTTCGCTTTTTCCTCTATTTTGCAACCATATTCAACCATTTCTGTGAGCATCCTGATTACCAGTGTTTTGAACTGTGCATCTGATTGGTTGGCTATCTTTTCATCGCATAGTTGTATTTTTTCTGGAGCTTTAATCTGTTCTTCTTTGGGCCATATTTTTTCGACTCAGGGCACCTATTACATAGTAAGGGGTGGAGCCTTAGGCATTCACCAGGGCGGAGCAGCCGACCTGGCTGCACTGTGGCACTGTCTGTGGGGGAGGGGTCTGAGAGGAAACAATGCTGCTTGTTCAGCTCTTAGGGGCTTTCAGTCACTTCCCCAGCTACCCACAATCAAATTGGGCCCTTCTGGTGCTGACTCCTGGGTGGGTAGGTTTGTGTACATTCTAGGACCCTGTGGGTCCCTCCAATGAACTCTCCTGTGAGGCTGGGAGTTTCTCCCACTGCCACCTGAACCCCCACAGATGTTTTCAGTCAAAGGTTTTGAGGCTTTATTTCCTCACGCTGGCACCCTGGGTTGCGAGGTCTGCCTCGCTCCCCAGTTGTTCCTCCCAGTTTATCTGCAAGCAAATGTGGGATCACTTTCTCCACCAGCTACCACCTTTTCCACCCTGGTCCTCCAGCCTCTTTGCCCTGACTCCCCTCCACCCAGCTGCCTGTCTCCACTTTTCTACCAGTCTAGATGAAAGTTTGTCTTTAACTCCTTGGTTGTCAGACGTCCATACAGTTCCATTTCCTGGCAGTTCTGTTTACTTTTTGTTTTTAAATTTGTTGTTGTCCTTTTTTTGGTTGTGTGAGGAGGCACAGTGTATTTATCTATGCCTCCATCTTGGCTGGAAGTCTTGATTAAGAATACCTTTTGAATGGATAAAAAAGATTCAGAAATATTAAAAGGAAGAAAATTTCAGTTTTTAAGAGAAGCAGCTGTGCTTAGTTTTATTCAGGGATTATTTATCATACCAAAAGCTCATAATTCGAACCTTAAAGCAGTTGCAATGAGTTTCATTTTTAAATAAATTTATTGCTTATTTTACATGTTCTATTGCTCCAGTTATAATTTTAATACTATGTGTCATTAAGCAACCACAGATGGCACAAATATAATAGGACTGGTAATATAATGAAACTAAGGTATTTAAATAAAAACTTCAAAACTATTTTCCTTTCTATCAGCTTTTTTAGTATATGTAAAATGCAGATTTATTAAGACTAATGAATATTATTTAAAATTACATTTTTTCAGATTCAAGAAATTAGTAGAAACAATGAGCAACAACATGACTATGAAGAGCATATTACTTCACTTCCTGCACACTTTTCCAGTAAGTGTCCCTACGTCAGGTATAATGCATACAGATATCCTTTGTACTGCATAATGTAACTGAAAAGTAAGACTGAAGAGAGCATGGAAAAGTAATTAACTGAATGACTTTTAATTTACAGTATGGCAGAAACATTACTAAATTATTTTGCTAATTTAAATATTCCTAAATTTAATATTTAATAATTAAACACTTGTTTTTCCTACCCAAACAAAATACACAAGTCAGATTGATATAAATATTCTGACTACTTAACAACTACATTTTTTTAGTTTCTTTTTTTTTATTTTAAAAAAGGTCACATTCTTTTCAGACCTTTTACCAGCTAGGAAATGAGAAGGTTAGAGAAGAGGTTCTCTAAGGTCCTTCTCACTGGCTGTAATAGGATGTAATGCTATAGTCTAATGTTTGAAGATTACTTCAGTCCTTGTAGATAGGTCACTGTGCCCATTATGTCAGATTCCATTGGTACACAACAGCTTGCTTCACCAGCATGTCTGATATGCATCACTTACCTAGCATTTCCAAATCTGGAAACCCCAATTCCTGCCACTCCCAACTTACTCCACCTGCTGACTTCCTCATTCAAGCTAGTGAAGATTCTATCCTTAGTGAATTCAGTCCCCAAATCCTGGTCATCCATGTTTTTTACTTTGTCTTCTACCCCATATTCAGTCTGTCAGAGTACTGTTGGCTCTACCTTCCAAATACAGCCAGCATGCAGCCATTTCTCCCCCTTCTATTGTGATCACTCCTAGTCTACTCCGTCACCAGCTCCCTCTGGATTGTTATGGTAGTCCAGTGGCTGACAATGGAAGGCTATTTTCTGCCCCCAAAAGAGGATATCAATGAATGGGATTTTTTTTTTCAATTACAGTTTACATTCAGTGTTTGTGTTCATTTCAAGTGTGTGACATAGTGATCACACAATCATACTCTACAAAGTGCTTTCCTCCTGATATTTTCAATGCCACCTGGCACCATATACATAATTACTACAATATTACTGACTATATTCCCTATGCTGTACTTTATACCCCTGTGTGTATTTTGTAATTACCAATTTAGACTTCTTAATCCCTTCACCTTTTTCACAGAGCCCCCAAAACACCATCCCTCTGGCAACTATTAGTTTGCTCTCTGTGTCTATGAGTCTGTTTCAATTTTGTTTCTTTGCTTTATTCTTTAGTTTCCACATATACATGAAATCAAATAGTATTTGTCTTTCTCTTACTAATTTATCAAACAGAGGATTTTTTTATTGACATGACTTGAGAAGGGAAGTTTGCATCTCGCCTTTATAGAGCAGAGACCACATAAATGCTGCTAAATATCCTACAGAACATGTCCCCACACAACACAGAAGTATCTAGTCCAAAGTACCAATAGTGCTGCCTTGTTTTTAATTTTTTAAATTTTTTAAATTTTTAAATTTTTATTGTTGTTCACTTACAGTTATCCCCATTTCCCCCCTTATTCTCTCCTGTCCTACTCACCCCCACCTCCGACATTCAATCCTCCCCCCTCCGTCAATAGCAGCTTCCACATTCGCCACCCTGAATCACTATGCTTCATGAAGGAACGAATTACTCTTCTCCAAATTTTCTGACACCGTCACATCATATTACAATCTTTATCGTCACTAATGAGGCCCTAGATCATCACCCCATCTCTGACCACTCGTCTGCTTGTTCACAGCCACGGTGACATCTGTCACACATCAAGCAGGCTTTTGTCTCAGGGCATTTGCACTTTCAACAGCCCACAGTTGAAACTCAGGTAGGTATTATTGATCACAGTTTTTTCAAGTCATAGGCTAACCTGCATATCAAATACATTAAAACACAATGTCTTAACTAATCTTCTTTGGCAAAATCAGTACATACCTTCAAATATTATTGCAGAACACAAAATAATACTAAATATTAAAGTACTGTATTAATATGTACAGTTTTAATGTCATGCATTTTATTATTTTTAACAATAATAAATTATGATACAGGCCATCATGAATAATTCGAAATGACATTTAATCCTCAGAAAAACTGCCTGAGGTAAGAAAACATTACTTCAGTTATTTGTACAGAACAGTCTCATTGCTACAGATAGCTGGGACCTGGAACTATCTCCCATGTGAAACTCAATGTGACTGGACTCAGGCCTCAGCCTCTTTCATGGAAGAGGGGGTGAAGCAGAGGATGCCCACTCTAAGTCAGCAGATTTCCATTGGTTCCAGCCTTGTTACGAAGCTTCCTAAACCTGACTCTCCAGGGCTGGATTGCATTTTTGGGCATATTTGATAAGGTCCAAGGAGACCATTGCTTAGACAGTGCATTGGCTGCAAGTAATTTCCTATAATGTAAATGTAATTTTAAGTCAGTGTTTGACTTACCCAAAAAGATGTAGTAAATCCCTTTTGCTATCCCTGAGCAATCATTTCTTTTCAGTTATTCTATCATCTACTCATGCCATCAGGATTTCCAGAGACTGCTTTGTTTTAGGCTCCGTGTCTGGTGTTAGAAGTAGAAAGTGGGGATCTGTGCAGAGGTCTGTGCAAGAATGAAAGGCTGTCCGCTCGGCCTGGGCTGCTAACCAAAGAATCTCGGTCCACAGCTCTAGGACTGGCACCTATACCTTTCTTCCCTCACATGAAAGAAGAGAAAAATTAAACAATAAAATTTGATGTAGAAATATGGACTACCCACATAAGCATGATTTTTCTGCATTACTAATTTATTTTTCCTCTGCTGAAAATTTTCTACATTGTAACTGTTAAGTTAAAAAAATATTTTTCTATATACCACTCTGGCTTTTGTAGCTATATTTGAGTTTAGCAATAGTTTAAAACAATTATTTGCTCTTCTTTTTCAACAATAATGACAACAGTTCACATATTCCCTGCAATACAGTATTCAAAAGTTTGTTTTAAAGTTTGTGAAAGCTAGCCCTGGCTGGTGTAGCTCAGTGGATTGAGCATGGGCCTATGAAGCAAAGGGTTGCTGGTTCGATTCCCAGTCAGGGCACATGCCTGGGTTGCAGGTCGTGTCCCCAGTAGGGGACACGTGAGAGGCAACCACACATTGATGTTTTTCTCACACTCTTTCTTCTTCCCTTCACCTCTCTCTAAAAATAAATATAAATATTTTTTTAAAAGTACTTTAAAGTTTGTGAAGGCTTAATATACAGCAGAATTCTTATAAAGAAAATATAAACAAATTTGTTTTAATATTTAAAGGTATTGCATTATAATATCCAGTTTTCTATTTTTCTTCCTGAGTGGTTAGAAAGCTTTAATGTACAGTATAAAAACAAATGTTGGCATCATCATTCTTAGAGGGAGGGCATTTGATCATTTGGTTAAGTTTCAGGATAGAGTACATTTTATAGGTAAAAGAACTGAACCCTAGAAAGACTTACCAACTATTGGTAACTTAAATGTCTTCCTCATTAAAAAAGAAAAAATTTTCCCTGGCTGGTGTGGCTCAGTGGGCTGAGTGCTGTCCTGCAGACCAAAGGGTCACCAGTTCTATTCCCAATCAGGGCACATGCCTGGGTTGCGAGCCAGGTCCCCAGTTGAGGGCACAGGAGAGGCAACCACACATTAATGTTTCTCTCCCTCTCTTTCTCCTTCCCTTCCCCTCTCTCTAAAAATAAATAGATATTTTTTTAAAAAGAGAAAAATTAACTTTTCCCAAGTAATAATTTCAAGAATTAAAGTGTCATCTGTTGATAGCTATATATTAAAACAATGACTAAATAAGAATCACAGATTTGTTTTATTGCATTATTCATAAGGAAGTTAAGATTTATTTTTCCTTGTCTTTACCTTTTCCATCATTTTTCGCTTATAGCAGTTATACTGTTTTCTAATAAAAATGCAATAATGCAGTCATATATGTGAATCTGCTTGAACAGTAACTCTAGAGAATCAGAATATTATAAGTTTGCTTCATACTGAGATAGCAAGATGTAATGGAGCTTTAACAATTCATTCGATAAATATTTTAAAAGCCCAAGAATGACTGACTATTCACCAAGTTTATGTATTTGTCAGCTTTCCACTATATCACATCATAAAAGTTTTATTAGCAGTACTACCACTTCGGTATGAACTTATGAAATATGACATGCCTCCAGATGGTGTGTTTAAATGAAATCACACAATCTTCCTTATAAACAGCCATACAGAACCCAGCATTTCATCTTGAAAGTGTGGAGACTTCTAGGCCGAGTGCTGAAGGAGCCGAGGCGAATGAAACAGCAAAGGAAGAAAAAAAGAATGAACCAGTCACGGAGACCAACTACGGCCTGCCCGAGGTTGATGGTGGGAACTCTGAGGACCAGTATGATGACTTGTATATGTTCATTCCTGGAGACGATCCAGAAATTAATTCACAAGAGCCACTCGGGGAACACAGACCACCTCTCCCCCCACCACGACCTGTAGTCGCTGCCCTCCAACTGGATAAACCTCACCTCACATTACAAGGTAAATTTAAGTTCAAAGTAACGATAAAAAAATTTGACAGACTTAATAGCATATAGTGCAGTAGCAAATCTATACAGAGAAGATCAACTTCTAAAACCAAGAGCAACTTTCCTCCATTCTTTAACTAGGACCTGGGAAATCTGGCAAAAGATGCCTGCCACTAAATATTCCTCCATCCCTTCCTTCTTTCCTTCTGGAACAAATAATCATTGCAAAAGTTTTGAGTAAGTGAAAAATAAAACCAGGAAGTAGTCTGTAAATTCTCTCACTGAAATAACATGGAAAAGTAAATGACAATTTTACTTCTAAAAAATACTCTTAGTCTTCCAGTAAAAGGGAAAGGCTAATATGGTACAGGTTTGGAAATGACCTTGGGCATTTCACTCATTTGGTAGTTTCAAGGGAAGCAAGTGGCAGAGGGTTTAATCACACACTGCATTGAGACCAAAGCCTAAGAATACTCTGTACATATGTTGATTAAGTGGAAGAATGGTTAAATGACTGTGACCATAATTGCCCCAAATGCAGGATTATGGTGTCTAATGGGGGAAGGGGTCAAGGAGCATCAAGAAGAGCGTCCATATTGGCCTTATTAGCCTGGAGTGTGTGACAGACTAACAAACTTTCATCTTCACATTCAAATTAGTGACTATAACAAGGTCACTAATTTTCACCCACTTTACTGGTCGCTATTTTATATTCACTTTCCAAGTTAAGAAAATGTCCTTAGAAATAATATTTTAGAAGGAGGATAAAAGAGGTATCTATTATCAAGACCCCATTTGTCACAGTACTGTAGTTGCTGAGTCCTAAAAAGTTATGAAGTATATAAAAGCTGTTTCAGAAAGTTGATTTTGAAGGCATGAGATTTAACATTTGTGTCCTTGAAGGCCCTGTTTCTATAAAAGTTCAAGTTGATTAACGTAAACTTGTACCAAGGTTATCCACTGTATTTAGAGATGGAAAGTACTGCATAATGGAAAGAATGGAAACCCTCATAGGCACTCCCCGATCCATTCACTCACTCAACAAGTACTTGTTGATTGCCTGCCATGCGTCAAGTTCATATAGGCCATTAAGATAGATCAGTAGGTGTATCAATCTTGGGAGCAGAGGAAGGGACATAGATTAGTAGTACTCTGACAACAAAATTCTGATATATGCTTATCATTTTAATAGCTGCGAACAATTCCATATCATTATTAAAATTAATTATTAAGAGGCAAAGTTGTCTTTTATCAGCTTAAATCTCTGAAAGGAGCTAATGTTAAGTTAAATTTTTTCCTAATGGAAATTTCTATATGCGGTAAGTTGAGATCTCACACTACTTTACCCAGAGTTTTCACCAGACATCTAAGACCCGAAGTGCAATTTTGGTTAATATATTTTCTGAAAAGTATTACACATAAAAGCAAAATAAAACAAAAACTTGCTCCTTTTACTTAAAAACTCTGTTTTTACATTTTATATATAGTGTCACTTTTAACCTCATCTTTTCATAGGGCTGATACTTAGCAGCAAATAGAAAATAAAATACAAGTATTTGTCTTTAATATTTGATTAAAGTCTTTAAAAGTAAGACTGGAAGCATCCCCTTTTTTTTTGCCAGGCACTTTATGAGTTCTTTGACTTTAACTAGTGATACCTTCAGAAATTGTCCCTTTAGAGTAGTTTCCTTATGTCCTCAAGTTATTGAAAAAAGAGATGTCCTCATCAATGTTCTAAGTATCAAATTCCTTATGATGGATTTATGGACATATTCACTGTAGAAAATATTAATATAGGACACTGGGGAATGCTTTTCAGTTTATAAAAAACATATTGTTTCCTTTTATCTTTACAACAAACTTTCAAGGCAGCCATCACTTAAGATCTCTCTCTTTTTAAATTCTTTATTTATTGATTTTAGAGAGGAACACATTGATTTGTTGTCCCACTTATTCATACAGTCATTGATTGCTTCTTGCACGTGCCCTGACCAGAGATTGAACCCACAGCCTTGGTGAATCAGAATGATACTCTAACCAAATGAGCGGCCGGCCAGGGCAGGATCCCTTTTTGACTCAGATCCAAGACCATAGAGCCTGTAATTAGAATGTGTCATATACCTGAGGAATCCCAAATACCTCAGGTTTCTGGGATTTTAGGATTCTTCTTTGTGTTATACGCTCTTGCCCCAATTATTTCAAAAATTAGAATTATAGAAGTGATTTATTTTCATTGTTATTTACCTATGTACAACTGCATTGAGAAAGCGCAGGTTCCACCCTGACATAAAAAGTATAATAACCTGATACACTGGGAAATAAAAAGTAAAATGTATTATTTCCAGTGCAAGTCCAACTTTAGAAAGAATTGGGAAGGAAAGTGGGTGGAGGAACAAAGATAACAGCTCAGGAAATCAGATTATAAAAGTAAGATAGTTGACACATTCTACTAAAAATAAAACACTCTAAAAGTTTTTCCCACACACTTAATCTGGTTTCACCTGTGATGCTGTCAGTGAAACAAGTCATGAAGTCAAAATCTCAATACCATATTATTCGTAGGGGAAAAGGCAAGTCATGGTGATGTTAAAGTTAGTTGTATGTAGGCCTGTATATATTTGGGGTTAAACTAACTGAACCAACCAAATAGGAGACTATTGGAAAATGATGTTGGTCTCTCCTCCTATGCCTACCCCCCAAAATTGCTGAACCTTCTCATAATAGTATTTTTTAATTTTTCTCCATGACTTCTTTCTCTTCAGCTCCTAAGTTGTTCCATTAAAATATCCATAAGGGAATTAAAATATCCATAAGTGAATTTAAAAATTTTTGGTAAGAGTCGCACCCAAGAGAGAATAAAAAACATTCTCCTTTAGCTCACATGCTTGAACCTCCCAGAATAACATAAAAAAAAAATTTCTATATGATCTCACCCTCACCTTTGACAAGAAGCTAAACAATAAAACAAACAAGCAAACAGAATAAAAACAAAGACACTGAAATAGAGAACAAGTGGGCAGTGACCAGAGGGGAGAGAGAAGGGAATTTAAGGGGAAAAATGGGGAGGGATTTGGAGGAACAAGTATGAAAGACACAGGGATGAGGACTGGGGGGGGGGGGAAATGGGAGGGAGGTGGGGAGCATGGGCGGGGGGGGCTGGGATGGGAGGAATAGACAAAAAATGTACTTGAAAAATAACTAAATAAAAATTTTAAAAAAATAAAAGCTATTTGATCTATTAATAAAAAAAAATTTCTGTCAGTAACTAAAATCTTTTCCATTTCACTGTTTTCATTAATGCTTTACACAAAACATTTGTCAAGGGGAAATTTTTTAAAAATTCTCATTGACCTGGCAGAAAGCCATCAAAATTATTTTCAAGTTACTCATTAATTAGCCAGGGTATATGGTTTCTTTATCTGCTAAATAACTGCTGTTGAATACTAAAATATTTTAATGCACTTTTATAAAAGTATGTAAAGATGTTACCGAGTATGAAAACCATCAAAGACAGTATATTCTTTTCATATGAATTAATATTCAAGCTGTTGATTATCCATGCCATCTTTTAGGTTATGAACTCCACTTTTCAGTGTTCTTTACTGGAGAACGAGGTTCATGTTGGCTTGTAAAAAGCAAGAGTTTGAAGGTCAGTTTGTCATTATCAGAGGAAGATTTACCATAAGAAACCGAGAAACAGTGCTTTTAACCATTCCACCCTATCTTCAGAGAAATTTAATTTTAGGCAGAATAACCAGTGCAAACCCTGTGAAAGGTCAAATGACTTCAAGTAGGAAAATAATCTAAAAGTATTATGTTTGAAAAATACAAAGTTTCAAAGTTTCTGGAACTTGGGGATTAATTTTATAAGTCAATTTCCTGATACTAAATCATTCACAAACTATGTGGGAACCACTGGCAGGTTTATTTATATTTTGAAAAAAATCCACGCCCTAAACAGTTTTTCCTTAACAAAGTTAAACTTTGCTAGGAAAGTTATGTTGAAGGATATGTTGGCAAATTCCATGGTGCACTTCTCTTTTGGGGGGATTTATGTTGTAATATGTAAATGATTATGGGGGAAGTTTAGGCAAGTGATAAATGAACATCAAAAATATTGCATTCAATTGAAAAGTCACCACCATCTAAATATTTCACAAACAGGGAAAATGTTGGAAGGCCAAATGGAAAGAAGTCAAAATTGGTGCAATGCCAGTGCAAGACAGGAAAGAGGAGGTGAACCTGCAGGAGGACAGACAGAAGATGAGAAGAAGCAGCAGGAGGAGGAGGAAGACCCATACACTTTCGCTGAGATAGATGATGGTGAATATGACATGATACTGGCCAATATGAGTACAAAGAAAAAAACTGGAGGCCGGTCTTTTATTATAAACAGACCGCCTGCGCCTGCGCCTAGACCCACAAATATCCCTCCAAAAGAGGAAACCACACCGTACATAGCTCAAGGTAATGTCTTTTGTTGTTGATTTGTGTGTGGTTGGGGATGAAATTGTCCTCTTTTTTGATGGGATCTAAACCCCAAAGATGAAAAATACCTTTTCATGTCACAGGTGAGTTGTACTGGCTTATCGTAAAATTTAGAAACACAGTGAATAAAGAAAATAAGAATTAATGAGTAGGGGTCTAGTTTCTAATTCTTTATTAAAAAGGATAAATTTGACAAACCATTCAAAGAACACGAAACCATATCATGCATTAAGAAATTCTATTTGACATGTTCATAATTCTATGAGAGGGAAGCTCAGTTCTTAAGACTAATGGTCAATGGAAGAAAAGAAGGGTAGGTCCTTTATTTTTTGCCCCTAACTTTATTTTTTGCTCCTAATTTCATTTAAGATAACTTTAAAATCTAAACAGTTTGAATACTAGAATCTCATATATGTAACCACAATTCCTCTGATAATTGCACTCACCCTAATGATTAAGATTCACTTCATCAGTCACAGAATTTCTACATCATTATAGACATTAACTCTTCTTTCTCATTCACTACTCGGTTGGATCTAAATAAAAAACTAACAAATCCCTCAAGCTATTTTTTATACCTCTAACCCCAGCAGGATGTATTGACTCTACTCTTACTTCTTAAAATCTGGTTTGGTGCGTTCCATGAGTCTATAGTGTCTAGAAGAAGACTTTTTATTCATCAGTTCCAGGCATGCAAATAAATGTGTGGAGTGCCCTTTTTGGGCTAGGATGCCATCCAGGAACTGGGAATATGAAGTAAAACAATATCTCCATCTCAGAGGAGTTTCTGAGCAGCAGATATGAAAATACCACATTTTGTCATGTATAATATACACTTTTTGACCACATTTTAGAGGGAAAAATAAGGATTCACATTGTACATGGGTATAATGATTACATAAGTATAATAATGGGTATAATAATCCTGTGTAAAAATGTGGGTGTTCATTATATGTGGCAAAATATGGTATGTAGAGTTCAATGTGACCCTTTATTGAGATTTCTGAACAAAATGTTTGGAATCAAACAAAATATTTGGTTGATAACTAAAGCTGAGAGGCAGTAGATCATATATTTAAATAATCTAAACCAGTGATCAAAACAAAACATTTAAGTACATTTACAACAAATGTACCCAAAGGAACACGAGTACTTATCTGTGCTTAATAGTGTTGAAAGAAACTATTCTGTTGCTTAAGCAGTGTATATTATGAGATTTATGTAAGATAGTTGATCAAGTATATTTGAAGTTATTTACCAGTGTATAATATACTTATTTAATAGAAATCTGTTTTTGATAATGTTCAAGAAACTTTAAAACCAGGAAATGATGACACATTTTAAATGTTTCTGTTCAAATTAAATGTGCTGGAACAATTATCTACATTATTCAGGCAAGGGAGAAGCTGTAATTAGAAATTCTCAGGCTGTCATAGTGACCTCAATAATATTACAGGCTCTTTGATAAGGTTGGGACATTCCAATCAACATTTTTAAAAAGAGAAGATAGATGTACCTCAATACAATAATTTGGTTATATTTTAGAAATCATTAAAGAGGTACATCATCTTCTCTATCTCAGTTCTTCAGGAGTTCTGAGGACCATGAGTAGACTCCCCTGTTGTATGGTTCTCCTCTCTGTGTGTTGTTCACTTCTTGTCCTTCAATTAGAGGCCATGGTCTTATTTTCCATGGGCTCTTTTTTGTTCTCTGTTTGTTCTTTTTTGTACTATTCCCTTTCTTTGGTGGTGGTAGGGGCAGTATAACTAAATATTTTATCTATCATTTTCTTTTTATTTTTAAGCTTCTGGGATTTTAATTTTTCTTTGGTTCTCATGTGCTGTCTCTATCATATTACCTTTGTTTGTTATTTGTGCTGTCTCAAATACTTGATACTCCGCTCGAATATCTGGCTGTCTTAGCTATAATTTTATGTTCAAGAATAAAACACCAAAATCTTGAGTGAAAATTCTACTTGTTAACTTGTGGACTGTGTTGTTGGGTAATGGGAAGGTGACCAGCTTTTTTACTGAATTACCCCCAAACTATTCATTTATTTAGATCTACTCTCCTTTGCTTTTTAGTTTTTCTGCAATAAAATCCAACTAACTCTACTCTACATTTATATCCCTGGTTGCCAGCATTCTGAGATCAGAGTGTGGGAAGAAGACTTGGCAATGTCACCATTTATGTTGCACAAGTTCACTTGCCTTCCCTGCGTGCAGTTCAGTGTGCAGCACCTGCCACACCCTGGGCCTCATGTCTCACGGCCCCTGGCATTTTGCATGTATTTATTAGTTACATAAAATTTTATTGAGTATCAAATAATAAAGTCTTTCCGCATTTTGTGTAAGTTCCCTACATGACAATGATACAATTTGTCATACACACACATAAGAACTTTAAAACATCTTAGAAATCTTGTTTCTAGAAATTTTAAAGACTATCTCATCTACTTATAAGCCTGACAACCCTTCAAAATTTGTAAGAATTCTTTCTAATTCAAAAACACAATTTAATTTCTTCTCACATTTCTGTTATATGCAGAGAGGAACCAGTATTATAATATATGATGATTATTATTATTTTGCATTTAAGTATATAAAAACTGGTGGGTTATCTGCTCCACATCCCAAATCAGTAACAAAAACTGAAGTGTCAGTGAGGTCGTCAAAGCCCCTTTACATTACTTCTTTCTCTTCACTGGAATGTATCCACTTGCCTCTTCCTTTATGCTATTGATCGTTGTTTATTCTGCCTCAACACTAGAAAAACTGCCTCATCAGCTAATTCTGTCTTGATGTTCTTTGCATTTCAGAGTGTAAAATTCATTACCTTCCCTTTTTTCCTAGCTTACACAAATATATTAAATAAAATTGTCACCATTTTCCAGAAAACCATTCATTCAATTAGAACATTATATTGCCCCAATTCTTGCCAGAGCACAGAAGTGATAGCAGAAATATTGGCACATCCAAGGTGTGTTGATACAGCAAAAGGAGAAGGATGTGCAGTTGGGGATGGAATAGGAATGTGGGATGCAAAATCCCAACTTACTATTTCAGAAACTCAAGAAAGTTCTGGCAAAGAGACTAAGCAAACAAACCAGAGAGAGACAGGAAAATCATGGCTTTTGTGAGATCATTGAAAACATGTATGTTGGTGTCTACCCCGGCACAGAGTTCTTGAAATCCTTGTAATTTCCTGGGTGGTATGAGTGTCTTTTTTTTCTGATGAGGCAACTCTGTATGGGCTCCTGGATGTGAGCCGGTAACTGGGAAGACCAAGTCGTGATTGGAAGCTTAGAATTTTTAGCCCCACCTCCCATTCTCTTGAGAAAGGAGAAAAGCTAAAAATGGAGTTAATGACCTATTGCATCTATGTGAAGAAGCCTCTATAAAATCCCAATGTAGGGGATTCTGAGAGCTTTCAGGTTGGCAAACATATCCACATTTGGATGGTGACACACCCAGCTCCATGGGGACAGAAACTCATGTACTTGGAACCCTGCCAGACTTCACCCTATGAATCTCTTCATCTGGCTGTTCATCTGTACCCTTTATCATATCCTCTAAAAAACATATAAATGCAAGTAAGTGTTTCCCTGAATTGTGTGAAGAGGAGAGGCCATCAGAATGGGACAAAGTTCTAGGACATTCGCATCTAGCTGAGAATTCTAACTGCTTTCACAACGTATAAAATCAGAGAAAAAACTCTGTTTACACCATCACCAACTATAGAAATGTAACATTAATGCAAAATTAAACTAATGGGGTTTTTTTTAAGATTTTACTTATTTTTGTAGAGGGGAAAGGAGGAAGAAAAAGAGGGACAGAAACAGCAATGAGTGGTTGCCTCTTCTGCGCACCCTACTGGGGACCTGGCCCTCAACCCAGGCATGTGCCCTGACTGGGAATCCAACCAATGACCCTTTGGTTCACAGACCAGCACTCAATCCACTGAGCCATACCAGCCAGGGCTAAACTCACATATTATTTTATTCAAGAGATATACTTCTGATTTTTCAGTTCCCTTCCTATTATATTATATCTAATTTTGTTTTAACAACCACAAAAAGTTAACTCATTTTACTTTAATGAAAAGTTTTTGAAGTCTGCCTGCCTTCAGATATTGTATTCTTTCCACCTTTTTTTCCCTATAATTTTGAAAAGGATCGGATTCATTAAGCTTCAAGAATATAGAGAAATTAACATAGATTTACAGTGCTTCTAAGTGACAGCATTCTTGATTTAAGACAAATCAGGAAAAGAAAATGAGCACTTTGCATAGTGTAGATAGATTGGTGGTAAGACTGTATTCATAAATCATAAGAAGAGATGACTGCCTATTGGGGAAAATTTTTAACATCAGATGATAATTTCCTATTTTTTTCCCCACATAATTCATAGAACCTAGATCCTTCTGCAGAGTCCATGGTTCTGATTTGGAGTAGGATATGGAGTAGAATATTTCCCTTTCAATGTTCAATTGCTACTGAGTTGCCCTTGGCATTTTGCAGTGCAACAAAGCTATATATGACCTTTTGAAGAGCTACTCAGCTACCAAGACCCCAAAATGTCAAGTACAACTCAGTTGCTCTCAAAAATTTTCCACTTGCAATTCACTTGTACTTGAAATGGATCACATACAATACAGTTGAAATGCAAGCAGAAAAAAAAAAGAGACCTTGTAAAATCTCTTAGGAAAATTAATCCATATCAGAGTGGAATGTCCTCATTAGTGAAGAAATATGGTCAAGTGGATTAAAGTACACTTTAGACCGAGTGCCTTGGGTCCTATTCTTTGGCTGGGTGACCTTGTTCAAAACATTTAACTTCAGGACTCAGTATGTATATTACAGGTGCTCTCAAGGCAGAGAACCATACTTATCATTCTATTTGGAAGCCCAGTGTCCCTGTCTTCCCTTCTGATTCTCTCTCTGCCTCTCTCTTTTCCCTGGTAGAGTGCTGGTGCAACTC